AAAATAATAATAATAATAATAATAATAATAATAATAATAATAATATTAATAATAATAGTAATAATAATAACAACAACAACAACAATAAAAATAATAATATTAATATTAATAATAATAATAATAAAAATAATAATAATAATAATAATAATAATAATAATAATAATAATAATAATAATAATAATAATAATAATAATAATAACAACAATAATAATAATAATAGGCCTAATTGGGGTCTGATCACTTGGCTCTTCGAATAACAAAGCATTCATTGTTGAAATAAACGTTTAGTACAGTAATGGAAAGTAGCAGAGTAATGTTTAGTAGCAATACAAATGCGTATGTTCAATAACTAACAAAATAAATATATGAAGTGACGACGTTAACCCCCTAAATGTTATCCTTAAAATACAGTCAATTAAGTTAAAAAAAAAAACACGTGAGGAATTAGGAATGTCTACATTGGTCATGTACATGTAAAATGCTGTATTTACGTTATTTAACTGATAGTGTAAAATATTATAAACAAAATTATTGACTCATAATTGTTCATTATTAAAAAGTAGTTTGTCTTTATTTACATTAAAGGTACCGTAACGACTTAAGGTCTTATAATGATTATAATTATGTTTATGGCATTTTTTGTTTTGTCTACTGGCATTTAACTGACTTTCTATGAGGATACAATACTAACAAAAGACGGCCTCATTTTGTTTTTAAATAGAGCATGGATAATTCTTTTTCAGACCATAGAACTTTTTCTATCGCGACCCAAAACTTCTATCCCGTTAGTCCTAACTAACTTTTTTTTTTCAACTTACTGTCTCTGTTTGTAATGCGGAAATACATTAACTGTCATGCAGTAAATTTGAAACAATCATAAAATTAAGTTTATATGCAAGATTAAATTTAAGCCACAGACAAAATTACAAACTTAATGTGTTGTGCTAAATACGGAATACTTTATCTTTGACGTATTGAATGAGTAGGTTTGTACTTTACAGTTGAACTACTGTATATATAATACAATAATAGAAAGAAATATAAAAATATCACATTATACAGAATTTACATAAATCAGCAGTGATGTTGGTAATCTATGAATAACACACTTACATTTACATGTTCTATTCAAACAGGTAAGGTCTTCACGTCCAAACGCCAAAGGCTAAACAGGACGATTCTTTATATTTATTCGGCCAACATAGTCTGCGCTAAACCGGACGATTCCATTTATCTTGTAAAGGTACCGGTAGAAAGACTTGCACCCGCTTGATTCATCCAGGTAGGTATATTCACGAAATAAACTCCGACCATTAATTGTGAGTGGGTGAATGTGAATGTTGTTTTTTAGAAAAGGCAATTAATATAATGTCGTAAATGAATTTTACGCTTTTTTCTTAAACATTTGCTGGAATTCTGTTGATCTGTTCTGTTAATCAATCCCGTTGATTTGTCTGTGCATGTTTACATGATAGATGGACAACAAATAGAATGATAAAAATTAAAAATTTCTAAACACTGATTATTTATTTCTCCATCTCGCCAATATATTCTATTAAAATGTACATGTTCTACAATACACCCACAATACAGTGATACTAATAATTATATAAACTAAAAATTATTATAAATAATTAATAAGAACTCGAAAAAGAAGTAAAATGTGGTCTCAAAAACCAAATGATTATTAAAATTAGGAAAAGGAAAAAAGAACAATGTTTAGTAATTCTGCTGAAAAAAATAATTAATTTTAAATTCTGTACATTATGTGTACTTCATGAGCTTATATAAGAAGCGCTTTATGGAGGTTGCCTGATTAATTGTGATAAAAGTAAAGTTTATCCATAAAAACAATTTAAAAGTGGTTTTGTTTTTCCTCTATTGCCACAACAAATAGCATATATTCATTTCATTTTTTGTATATGTTTGTATATGTTAAATTTCGCATTAATATAATTTACACGAACGACAAATCTCCTTTACAAAACTATGATTAAACACATACGGTGTTAACTATCAATAATTAATTAATATTAACGATTTAGTTAATAATAACAATAATATTTAACTAAATGAATATAAATAAATAATTAATTACCTATAGATAATTTACACATTACTGAGAAAATACTGAAATGAAAAATTACTTTTTCTTCTATGAACGACTCATTAACATTTCCTTAATAATTAATGTTATTTATATATGATGCTTAAAACAATATAAAATAGTCTATGTTAAGACAGAATGCATTATGATTAATTCGATAATGTAACGTTCACAATTATTCATTAAAAGAATATTCATTATATTCACTATGACATATCAAAAATTGACTGACTCCGATGTTAATGCTTACATTAATATCACGCTGTTCTTTGTTAAAGGATAAGTTAGCACATCAAATGTGACTTTTATTTATTGTTTAAAATATTGCTTTTATAAAGCATTTAGTCTATCTTCATTGGAAGTACTAACTCGTTATTGAGTGCCTTCTCGAGCAATAGTTTGGTCGTGATGCCTCCTAGGATATCCAATTGAGAGACAATAACACTTAGCTCTTTGCTGGCCCATGTCACCATTTCTACAGCCATCAGTGAATCGACTCCGTAGTTTATCATTGGTCGATTTATATCGATACTTGCTGGATCTACGCACAAAAGTTTACTCATCTTTTGTGTGACAACTTGTTCAAGATCTTCTAAGCTAAGAGAACAGTCCGTCTTTGCAACTTGCTCGCCCTCGACTAGATGTTTGAATTTAAGGTTGCCTTCGTAGCTACAGGCCTGAGTGGCGGTCCAATTCTGTGGAATAGAATATATAAGATAAATAAAATTAGCATTCAGAAAGTATAACTGTGTGCGCAGTCGGTTGTGTTGTTGAAAATATCTAACATTTTGGTATGCGTCTGTGTTAAAACTTTACGGCGATGAAAATAAAAATGTTCCGTTTTGATTTTTGAATTCTAACAATGTATTAAAAATGTGTAATCAATGTTAGTATTGAAAATGTAACATACCTGATTTGCAAATGATACTACTGGAGGAACTTCGAGTGATTGTAAAAGCACTGATAATGTCTTCAGAAATTCATCTATGTGGAGACTAAGATGCCCACCAGCAGTCAATGCTTGTTTGATGTCAGGATTTATGTCGATGGATTCTGCGCCTGTTAGTGGTCCAACTTGTATACTGAGAGCTGGTAGGTTGCTATCTCTTCTCACTGTTGCTAAACTATCGACAAAGCTGTTAGCAGCAACGAACACAGGTTCTGACCAGTGGCCTGAGGTGCTAACGATTGAGGAAAGAGCAACAAAGTAGTCGAGGTCAGCATTATTTGTTTCATTGTGGAAATTTTGGGCAACGGTAGCTTTGGAAGTGAAGATTTTTTCCGCCTCTGCTGGTGTGAGATTATGGAGTGATGATGTACTGATATAGCCTGAAAGAAGGAATATGCCTTTGACTGCTGGAACTTTGTTGTTTGAAAGTTCCTTAAAAATGCTTTGCACATCACCCGGCTTACTCAAGTCCTTTGAAAACAGGTAAACATTCACACCGATGCTTCTGAGATATTCGACAGTTCTTTGTCCGGCTGAATTTATGCATTCCTGTTGGGACACCATCACAATATGCTTTGCTCCCTTACTTGCAAGCCAACGAGACATTGGTAGACCGATGCCTCCAAATGCATCAGTGATAATATAACTTGCGTTTTGTTTGAAAATCTTGGATGGTTGGTTGATCTTTTGTGGTCGGGCATTACCAGATACACTGAATATTATTTTTCCAATATGAGAATCTTCGACAGCCATTGCAAACACTTCCTGGCACTGGGTAATCGGAAATACATGAGATTCGATTGGTTTTAATGAGTTATTCTGAAGTAGATCTGATACATTTTTCAATAGCTTTTGTACTTTTTTCTTCTGTAACTTTATCATGTTATCCAGTTCGAAAGAAATAAATGACTTATTTTCTAGAAGAGCCTGGAAGTTTGCAGTCGGGAGTTTTGTTCGTTTGCCTATATCACAGAAGCGACCTCCGGGTGCTAAGCATTTAATACCGTAAATTAGGTAGTCATTGTGAAGTGAATTCAGGACAACATCAACTCCCATCTCATTAGTGAATCTGATGACGTCATTATAGAAGTTGGTAGAGGCACATACATACTCAATACCCAGGTTCTCTGTTAGGAATTTACGCTTCTTATGTGTTGCTTCAGTGCAGATTACATTTGCTCCAATCATTTTTGCTACAGCAATGGCACTCAGTCCAATGTCACTACAAGCCGAGTGGATAAGAACAGTCTCTCCCTTTTGAAGATGTGCACGCTCAACCATAATGTGATATGCTGAAGTGAATGCAATGGGCACTCCTGCACCTTTATCCCATGAAATACATTTGGGTTTTTTAACTATGAGATTAGCATTGCAGATAGCATGAGAAGCCAAACATTGCTCACCAAATCCAATAATTTCATCGCCAACTTTGACTGAAGTTACTCCTTCGCCGAGTTTCTCAACAATGCCACTTAATTCGCATCCAAAGGTCTTCTCAGCATATGGTTTATTTGCATCTGGCATTTCTAACGCTTTACTGATGTCAGTTGAATTCAAAGCTGCACTTTGAACTCGTACAAGTACTTCGCCATCAGATGGAATCATTTCCATTACGTAGGACACACCTATATCATCGAGTGATGGGATGTCTGGGTTGATATTTTGAGATAATTGCCAATATTCACTTGAGAGAGAAGGAGTTTCATGTGCATAGAGGTTTGCAATTCGTGGATAGAGATATGTTTGATTTCGAATGGCAATCTCCCTCTCTGTATGATCATCAGTCGCCATGTAATTAGAAAAGAGTTGCGCTTGAACCGAAGTTGGGCTTTTAGGATCCAAGTCAATTGAGAATACCGGTGTGTTGAATGTGTTTGTAACACTTCTGACAATGCCAATGGCGGTGCTTCCCATTATATTCTGTGCGGCTAAATTGGATCCAGATGTTACTACCCAAACTCGAGTAAAACTTTCAGGTGACATATCAACGGTTTTAAGTAGGCTCAATAGACTCTGATTGGACGCATCAGCTTCACTCCAAATATAGATAACTTCGCATGGCTTTTCGTCTAGTTTAGTTGCTATGTTTGTAAGTTGGGCAAATTTCACAGTTGCTATACTACCGGACAGGTTCTTTCTGATGCCTCTTTCCAACTGACTATTGGTGCCATCTACAACCAACATATATTTCTTGGCTTCTCTTGCTTGTTCATTGACAGATTTAGATGGTTTCCTACCGAGATACATAGTGTGGAAGAATTCATTTTCTGTAGTTTCAGCAACGACATCGACAAAGCCATTATCCGTCATAGTTTGTGTCCAGCCATCTTGAGATAACCAACATCTGTCTTTTCTGAAATCTGTATATGCCCAGCAAAGTTCCAGGGAACCGAATACCAACTCTGCTACATGACATGTATTAGTTGCTTCATACATCAAAAACATACCGTCATCAGTCAGAAGCTCCCTGATGTTATCAAGGCCATTATGAATATCCACTAAGGAATGAATTGTGTCTAAGCAGACAACCAAATCTATGGAGCCTGGAGCAAAACCTTGACTAACAATGTCCTTTTCAATGTCGAGTTGTTGGTATTTAATAAATGGATATTCCTCCAGAGTTCCCTGTGCATGCATGAAGAAAGTTACACTAAGATCAGTGAATATAAATTCCAAACGTCTTTCCTCGCCAAGCTCTTTAAGTGGTTCCAAAATATACTTTGATAGGCCACCCATACGTCCACCAATTTCTAAAATTCTCACCACTTGTTTATGTTGCAGTGCCTTTTTAACTGTCCTCTGAATAACATCTGCTCCTGCTCTGTAGAACAACCGTGTGCTTAGTGACTCTATGAAGTAATTTGGTAAGAATTCAGGCCGGAACAAGATTTTTACAGCACTGCCTGGCTCTGTCAATGTTTTGGGGAAATTATCCCCAAGATTTTTGATCATTCGCAATTCTTGGTCTAATTCAGGAACTGTTTCGCCTAACTCTTTGATTTTATCGTGTACTTTATTGAATGGAATGTCCATAGCCAATTCATCTTGACAGATCACTTTAAGGCGTTTTACGTATAGTGGATTTACTTTGTAGGTAGATTCATCGACTGTGCTGAAACCGTTCTTAATATATGCTACAGCTATTCCTCTCATAGCAGATGTACATTTTTCTGCTCTTCGTACTAGTGATAGTTCATCAGCATATGCATCAGTTTGGTATATGTCCTTAAATACCTCACTTAGGATCGACGTACTGCCCAAGCATGCATTTGAAGGTTGCCACACAGTTTCATATAAGCATTTCTCAATTTCTACTTCAGATTTTGTACCATTTACGTTTTGACATTTTACACCTGATATTTCTGCCAAAACGCAACCGTCTTCAGTTAGTATTAAGATGTCACCAATCAGTAGTCTACTATTACAATCAGTGATTCTAGTGTAGGATAGAAGCTGTTGCCCAACTGGAAGCTTTGTTACACACATATTCAATTTGTTTATTGCTACTGGCAGGTAAAGGATTGTTTCTTTGGTTGCATGTAAGAGGAGTTGGAAACATCCGTCTAGAAGTGTAGTCTGAATACGTTGTTTTTTATCACTGGCAGCCCGTAGATAACCAATAGCCTCTCCATCTCCAATCATCACATCATCCAAAACTTTGAAAGCTGGACCGTAGTTGAAACCAAGAGCAGACATATTATTGTAGATATCATCTTTACTGTGTCGAAGGTTACATCTTGATTTGACTGCTTTTATATCAACTGCGTCTACATTCTGGGGGCTGGTTGATGCAATTTCACAGCTGCTTAGAATTTTTCCGTCGGAGATAACTTCAACAAAACTACCATCTTTCACACAATTCATCTTCAACATAACACACGGGTCACTGCCCTCTGGGCTCTCGGGCCAAACTAAGTCATTCATAAAGTTAATATTTACGACTGCAGGCTTCTGATTCTCATCAAATGACGACTGAATTGCATACTCAACGTAGCCAGAGACAGGAAAGATATTTTCATCTTTGACAATGTAATCTGTGAGACAAGAAAATTTTCCGTAAGTAAGGTTACCATGCACACCACTGTAGGTAAGGTCATCAAGTCCAAGTCTCTTCAGACGTCTTTCAGCACCCTCAATCCAGAATGATCCGTGTTGCCATGGGTACTTTGGAATATCTGCCCATTGCCCAGCATCGTTAGTGACATTTTTCCAGTTGATGTCTAATCCATTAGTATAAAGATTTCCAAGTGAGTTCAAGAACGATACCCTGTCATCTTGATTTCGTTGACCAGATGTTACTGTGATTAGATCAGTTTTACCTTGGCCTTTAGCGATCTGCTTCACAGACGTTAGCAGAGTAGCAGAAGCAGCACACTCAATAAAGACGTCAGGATCTATTTCACGCAGAAGGTTTTCAACAGCTGGCTGAAACTTAACCGTGTTCCTGATATTCTGCCACCAGTAATCAGTCTTGAAATCGCCATCGTAACATTCACCAGTTAACGTAGAATAAAATGGAATGGTTGTTTTACCAGCTGGAGTGGATACAGCTCCTTTCATTGACGCTCTGAACGGCTTTTCCATGGGATCCATGTAAGGTGTATGGAAAGCACACTGAACTCTGAGTTCTTTAGCTTTTATCGTGGAGTCATTGGCGACATTATGAACACTTTCTAGAGAGCCTGCCAACGTTAGCGAACCAGGAGCGTTTTCTGCTGCGATGTACATGTTTCCTTGTTTTCTAATTACCTCTTCAGCCTCTTCTGTGTTCAGTCTGACTGCTACCATACTTCCAGCACCCTTGAGCATAGCCTGGTTTATGCTTCTATAATAAATAACTTTAACAGCTTCTTCCAATGTTAGACCACCAGATGCATAAGCTGCTGCTACCTCCCCAAGGCTGTGACCTACGACTACATCTGGTTTGAGTCCCCAGTGACGCCATAACTCGTACAACCCAATCTGGAGAAATAAAATAGCTGGCTGGCTTATTTCCATATCGTTGATGCTCTCATCATCCAAAACATTTTCATTCTGCGAATGACCATTGAATAGATATCTATCATGTACGAGAGACCAACCACTCAGTTTACGGAAGATTCCATCACATGTCTCAATCGTTTCTCTAAAAAGAGGTTCCGTGCTGTAAAGCTGTTTTCCCATCTGTGCCCACTGTTGACCCTGTCCTGGAAAAACAAAGCAGATCTTGTGTTTTGCGTCGTAAACTGTGCCTGTTAAAATTCCATCGCTGTTTCCATCTTCAATAAATTCATTCAACCTGTTTTTGAAGTCCATTCCTGATTTAGCAAATACAGCCATGCGGCATTCATGGTGTTTTCTGTGGGTAGCCTGCCATCCAATTGCTTGAATTGCGTCTTCATTTGCTTCGAAGGTCTGCCAATTTACAGCCAGGTCTTTAAGAGCTGTTGTTGATTTTGCAGATAAAGGTATGATCATTGTCTTCCCACATTTGTTATTTTCCCCAAATGACCAGCCTACAGGATCTGTTATCTTCTTCGGGATTTGGTCGGGTGCCTCTTGGAGGATTGCATGTGCTAATGACCCTGCAAAACCAAAGCTGTTAACTCCGATGATAGCTTTTCTTTTTGTGTCAGGTTTAATCTTGTCGAGAGAAGTATGCACTTCGAGGTTCCAGGCATCAAGATCCATTTGCGGGTTTGGGTTCTCGTAGTTTATTGTTGGGACTAGGTAACCTTTGTGTAACATGAGGGTAGCCTTGATAGTAGACACTGCACCTGCTGAACACTCACAATGTCCAAAATTACTTTTGACTGATCCAATTTTGAGTGGTTTAGCACGTCGTGGTCCAAATGTCATGCCGATAGCTTCTGCTTCGATGGGATCTCCTACAGGTGTACCTGTACCATGTGCTTCGAGGTAGTCTATGTCATTCATATCAATGTTAAATTTCTTGTAAGTTTCTTCCATGAAATACTGCTGAGCAGGTGCCGAAGGCATTGTTAGACTCTGAGTGTAGCCGCTTGCACCAACGGTCGTTCCTATAATTGTTGCATAAATATGGTCATTATCAGCCATAGCCTTATCAAGGGGTTTAAGTATCATAGCTCCCCATCCCTCACTTCTAACATACCCTTTAGCTGAATCGGAAAACGGGCAACATTTTCCATCGGGGGACAGAACACCAAGTGCGCTGAAACCAACTGTTGTGTCTGGTAGAATCACAGCGTTAGCTCCACCTAATACAGCAAGGTCACATTCATGGTTCCATAGAGCGCAGCATGCCATATGCATCGCCGTCATTGATGAAGAGCAAGCTGTGTCAACAGCAAGACTTGGTCCAGTCAGGTTGAATGCGTATGATATTCTGTTTGCTGCAACACTATGGGCTGCTCCAGTTAGAGTGTAAGCATTCACTGACGATGAATGAACGTCAAGGATCTGAGTGGGATAGTCCATCAAACCGATGCCTACAAATACACCACACGATTCTTTAAGCTCGTCTGGGATGATGCCAGCGTCCTCAAACGCCTCATGAGATACCTCCATTAGCACTCTCTGTTGTGGATCCATGGATGCTGCTTCTTTTGGCGATGTCCTGAAGAATGTGTTGTCATATTCGTCGATTCCATCTATGAAACCGCAGCGCCGTGTAACCATTCTGTCTGGTTTCGCTTGATCTTCATCGTGGAATTTATCCAAAGACCAGCGGCTTGCTGGAACCTCGGAGATGCAGTCTTTACCATCTCGAAGAACCTCCCAGAATCCCTCAGGAGTTGTTACCCCGCCGGGCATTCTGCATCCTATTGCAGAAAAAAAAATGCTTGCTTTAAGAATGTCATGTATTCCTGTCTATCAATATATTGTATGGAGTCATTCTTACAATTAAAATTAATATATCTAACAAAATCTTAATTTACGTTGTAGAATATGCAAACAACATTTAAATATGATATGGCTAAAATACAATTATTTGATGTAGTAATAATAATAATTGCGTATAATGAGCAATACCTACTATAGAATACTATAAATTACAACATTGCTAAAGAATGAACGTAGAAGCCGCTTCACTTACCGATACCAATGATGGCTACTGGAAAAATATCATCCTTTCCAACCATTTTGAATTTGTTTATTGATGACCGTTGATTGATCTAAATAAAAGCAAGCAAATAATAATAGAGTATTACATTTTTATTTTATAATTCAATGATAACGTAGTTCATATATTGATGGATTGAGATTGTTAACATTAATATGATTATGGAACGGGTAACGGTGGGCCAACAATTGTTCGATAATAAAACCGTAATTTGTGTAAGGTAAGCAAACGTTTCTACAACTGTCTGTTGTCGGTTTTATTATTGGGATTTTGTTGTAGTTCAAGTACTTTATCATACAACGTTATTGTTTATAAATATATTATTATATCTATTATAGTAATTGTTCCATCTTTACATTAAATAAATAATGTAGGCCTATATTTCTTTTTAAAGAAATAGCATTACCATAATTATTCATAAACCAAATTTTGAAAAGCATAAGTAAAATAATTATTGTATAAACGTACATTTTCATTTTAGTATCATAAAGAATTAAAAAAAAATATATATAATGAATGCATGTAAGCTAGTATTTCCTTTTAATGAAATAGCACTACTATATTCATAAAACAAACTTATTTTAAAATGGAAAAATATATTAAAGAATAACAATATATAATTTAATTGTATTAAGACATAATATAGCACTATTAGAATTATAATATATTATATTCTTCTGTTATTTATGTAGTACATTTCTTGGCAGATATAAAGCGCTAACACCGCCCCCTCCCCTCATCACATACACAAAAACGGAACAAAAGAAGGGAAGAACGAAAAAAGAAAACATTCTATATTTCAACAATGTGGATTAAATAATACCCAGTAATAGTTTTCGGTGTATTTTAATGTTTAAGTAATCACTTTATAAGTTATTCTTAATCACAGTTTCAATGCTTAATAATTATTATTTAGCCAATGTTTAGTTCTAAATATTTAAAATATTCAAATAAATTTTATATTACCATTTATATAGTAATAATATCTGTATAATAATAATAATAATAATTATAATAATTATAATAATAACAATAATATATGATAAAATTAATAACAATATGTATAAAATTAATGATAATTCTATATCAACATAATTTTGCCTTTTTCCTGCATTCAGTGAGATTCACAAAGGTTCAACTACTGTGTGTCCCGGGGTAGGATCTTGCAAGTCCTAAGGTCGGAGCCCGCATATCTCTTAAATCAATCAAATAAATTATTGGACATATAACTTTTACTTGACAGGTCAAAACAAATACTTTTATTTGTTTTATATTTTTATATATTGTATAACTATGTATAGTTGTATATATGTATATATATATATATGTATATATATAATCAATGTTGCTTCGTAGCACATATTATATGCATATAAATAATCAATTAATGGTAGAAATAGCGCTCGAATAAAGGTACAATTACCTCATTGTTCATAATCTATATAAATTATATAAGCCTACATAAATGCACCAAACCCGAAAACAAAGTAAAAAAATTAAGTTACAGCTCATACAATGCATCCTGAAGAAAATATATCAACATAATTTTGCCTTTTTCCTGCATTCAGTGAGATTCACAAAGGTTCAACTACTGTGTGTCCCGGGGTAGGATCTTGCAAGTCATAAGGTCGGAGCCCGCATATCTCTTAAATCAATCAAATAAATTATTGGACATATAACTTTTACTTGACAGGTCAAAACAAATACTTTCTTTTAATATCACTTGTGTATATACCGGTATTATAGGCCTATTATATAATGTGTATATATGTATAAGAAATTACAAAGTCAGGTAGGCCTATGTATAATACTGCACTATAAAATTAAATTTAATTTCATCTGTATTTCAATAATATTTATCTTCATGTTTGTTATTTGCTTTTTTAGAAAAGTAAATGTCATTAAATAATTCGTGTTAATTATATAAATATATTATATATTAACCAGAAGACAAGAATCAACAATTATTATTAGGCTATAATTATTACTAAAATTTTTAAAATAAATATAACAATTGTAATAATGATTATTATTCTTATCATCATTACCATTAATTGTAATACCAGATATTTTGAAATGATTTAATTTACGATTGTTTACTTAACATTTAATTTTATTCGACATCTCCAGAAATGGGTTGTATTTATTAAGCATGGGGTCTTTCGCTGTATATTTTGTCAAGGATATTTTTGGAATTATCGCTGATATTGAGCAATAACACAAATCATTTAATACAAATCATTAGGCCTATCTATAATTTGTATGGCTGTCAAATTTATAGTTCTGGCTATGTGTATTAATAATGCTGTACTGTAGTTAATATATCTTGGCACTGGAATTTGTTTAAATTTGGTTGGTAACGCTGGCATTTGCAAGAAATGCATAGTAATTCATTTCATAGATATTAATTATGCATTAATAATAAACTCTAAACGTTTCATTTTTAAAATAAGGTAGACCAAATATATGTTTATCATTTACACTGTCACTGGCACATTATAAGTGTAGGCCTAATAGTATAATATCTTGCACCGTACCATAAGTTGTTTTGTCATTGAGTACACCTCCGGTCATATCCAATCGCATATCAATGAAAGTACCTCTTCTCGATTGTATGAGATGCAAATTAAAAAGAATGTGTACTCATAACAAATATTCTGTTTTTAGAAGCGGTTTTAATGTACATTATTAATAACTATTATATTGTGACATTCATTTTCAGCATTTAAATTATACAATAATATATACTTAGCATTGCAAATATGATACTTATTTTCTTTAAAAAATACACCAGTGTATTATAGATTAGAAGTGTATTATACCACTAAGTACCCACAAATTGTACCCATTGATAAACTACATGCATACAACTAACATACACTTTCTAAACAAATGCAGAGAACGTCAAATGCCTATCAATAAAAATGTATAACATAGGTCCAGAATGATAGGCCTATGTCTAAATGCAAATTGATAGTTAAAACATCAACACAAATGTTAGAATAGTACATTTTATAACTGGTGTTTAACATAATAATTTGGACCTAATGGTAGTGATTCAATATACAATTATATATATCTTAGACACGGATATATTTCTTCCTAAATAATTATAATTATAATTAATAATAATTATGCCTGTTACCAAAGTTGGTAGATTTTATTACTTAAAGATACACGGTATGTGATACGAACGAAATTAGATAATTGTTAATAATTGTTAAGGTTTTCCGGATATTGCGACAGACAATACACCTTCAAGTAAGTTATTCACTTTCAATTAACCATTTGACCGGAATATTCCCTTCATTAATAAACAATCGATTTCTGTGCAAATAGTAACTACTCATAAGTCGATACAGTACACTAGCCCGTATTAGTGATTTCTGCGATCTCCATAATAACAATAATAAATAAAGTAACCCGAATTTGAATTTCTACAGAAATGTAAGACGTTTAGAGTTTACCCCTTATGTTAAAAAACGGCTTTTAAAGTTTTACAATTAATTTGCCTCAATAAACTAAAAACCACGTAATTTCACTGCTAGCAAATCATAAAAGAAATTTGAATACGATTTTGATAAGCATTTCTAGGCCTATGCCGGATAAAAAAAAAATGCACATATAAATAATCAGAAGTGAGTCAAAAATCAGGAGGCTGACGTGACACTGAACTAGTTATGTTTATATTTGGCCAAGTTCGATTGTCTAGTAACTGAGTGTTTGAGGGGTATTCACAAAATAACACTAACACTATATTTTTGACACTAACACTATATTTTTGAAATCATAAAATAAGCCTATGGATTGATTTCACTGTTAAATTTACAGTTTCATAGGCACCTAGTATATAGATATTTTTGGTTTCAGATGTAAATTATAATCTTTTTTCTCTATCATGATAGGCCTATTTATTGCTGTATACAGTAGTTGGAAATATTGTGCACGGAAAGCAATGGATATTAGGCTACAGATATTAGGCCTACTTACTTACATGTATATACAAAAAATGCACGATAAAATCGGACGCATATTCACTAATTTCAGTGGAAATCGGACGCAAAAAATGCACGATAAAATCGGACGCATATTCACTAATTTCAGTGGAAATCGGACGCATAATCACTAATTTCAGATGTAAATTATAATATTTTTTCTCTATCATGATAGGCCTATTTATTGCTGTATACAGTAGTTGGAAATATTGTGCACGGAAAGCAATGGATATTAGGCTACCAGTATTAGGCCTACTTACTTACATGTATATACAAAAAATGCACGATAAAATCGGACGCATATTTGGAATTTAAACAGAGTTTTCATTTACTTACCTTCAAGACTTCTGTTTTTGGAACTAAAAACTTGAGATCTACGAAGAAGCGAACCGGTGTTGACGATGTTAGCAACTCAAATGATTTAAGGACTCACGATAATTTAGTACGTCTCGGTTTTATTACTCTTCTGTTTCTTATTCGTACCCGGATTGGAATGCTAGGATTAAGATTAATTGCCATTTTTATATCTTAGGGATCAGGAATTGCCGGTAACCAGCAATTTGTGACGGTATAAACAGTGATGCTGCATATCATACCCTGATCTTGCTCAAACGCTATACAGCGCATGCGTCGGCGCGTCGGCACGGCGACTCCCATGGGCCCACGACATCACTTCGATAATTTATTTTAAACAAACTACATTTAAAAAAAAAATACTAGTAATACTTCCAAAAAGAAAATTATCACAAAATAACATAACATAATATAGGCATATTAAACAAATAATCAACAGTAGGCCTATTAGGCACTGACCGGTACTAAAGCTTAATTAGGCCTATCGCATCAAGGATATTAATTTTGTGTGCATAGGACCACACTTAGCCTATCGGACAAAAAATCCGGGGATTATAGACTATAATAAGTGTAGACCATCGTATATACAGATTTCTGAAATTTACGTGTAGGCCTTTAATTTCTATTACATTCACAAATTAGGCCTACTGATTGTCAGTTAGACAAAAATACTCGTATGCGAAATATAGGCCTATACGTTTCCCCCAATTTAAAGACTGAATTTTGATCAGTTTCAGGATATAGGCCTATTGTCTGTCATGAGTTAAACAAATAATTGAAAAACGAAATGAAGTGTAAAGTGTCTGTAAATAAATAAAAACTATATATTTTTTATCCGTTTCTGTTTGGAAGTCGAGCAATTATTGGTCAATTTAAATGAGATATTCGAAATTTAAATTGGAACATTTGAGGTTTTACCTAATGTTTTTGGCAGACGTTTAAAAAAATTGTTACACATAATATATAACCCAT